AGAAGAGTATTGCTCTTGTTATTCGTTTCTGAGTGATGAGCCTGGTGGACTCACAGACGGTCATAACGTTGTCTAGTATGAGCCTGCGTGGAATGAATCCTGTTTGGTCTAGATGGAAATAACTACCGGTGATGTGGTTGATTCTTGTGGCTAGGAGTTTGGCCAAGAATTTGTGGGCGAAATTGAGAAGGGAGATGGGTCTAGGTCCGGATCTTTTGTTTCTGTGGGGTGCCCCATCCGTGAGGGAGAATTCCATTTATTGGGTTCCTCGGTCTCTTGGATCAGGGTTGTGTTGCATAATTAGGTGGTGGCCTGCGTCTTCCTTCTCTCTTCCTTATGTGCCCTCTCATCCGTGATTTTGGCCAAAGCCTGCTTTGCGTCTTTGCCCAGCCATTCCTCTCGCAGGAAGGCGGCCATGCTGAGTGCGATTCTGTCCACCTCTTCCTTTGGTCCAAGGAGCTGGAATGGGATCTTGCAGATCGGACTCTTGTTTCTGGAGATGTCAGAACTGGAAGCCAAATCCTTAATGCTTTTCCAGTGCATTTCCACAGAGCCTCAGGTAGATCATTTGTTTGCCAACCTTTGTATGTCTTCTGCCCAACCAGCCCTAAGTGTTGTGGGTATGGGGAGGTGGTGAGGTCCAGGGTGAGGGGAACAGGCAGGGGCAATGGAGGGGGAGGGAGATCCTCGTGCAACAGGGGTGGGGGAGAAGGAATTTGGGGGAGGGGGGGCTCTCGGGCAGTGGTGGCATGGGGGAAGGGATCAGTGACGGTGGCCCGGTGGGAAGAGGGGCAAAAGGAGTTGTAGCTGGCAGGGAGGCATCAGGCCCGCAGCCCGTGGAGGCAGGTTCACTGTGTCCTGGTGATGGTATTTCCCCTTCCAAAGGTGTGGCGGCAGTGTCTTCCCCACCATGGAATTATCCCTGGGCAGTGGTGTGAAAAAGTAGGTCACCAGTCTCAGAGGCCACTTGCTCCTAGTCCTTAATGTCCCATCATCGTCTACCTCGGCATCTTCTTGCAGGGGTCAGTCCGTATAACACCTCGATCATTTTTTTTTCCTGCATAGTGGGTCCACAGTATCAGCTACTACTGCCTCAGCATTTTTGCAGCTTTGACGATTTGTGTACTTACTGTCTCAGCTATTTCAACTTTGGCTTGGATAAGGCCGAACTCCTCACTCTCCAAACTACACAGGCTATTTTGGAATGGAGTCCAGTTGGGGGGGGGGAGGGGGCTCCACTTTTCCTAGCAGGATCAGCCCGATATCCCATGAAAGGCCATTTCCCATCAAACATCACCACACCACATCTCACCGCCTGCATATCTGGAGGGCAACAGGGCATTCCAGGAGGCAGTGTTCCAAAGTAGCTATACTTTGTGGAGAAGACTTCCCTTTCTGTTCCAACCTGAACTGTGAGACCAGCCAGGCCAGAGTGGGCAGGCACCTATGTAGAGTCTGCAGCTGGAGGGCCCGGTTGGTCGTCGGCATGATATGCAAGTGTACAGACCATGATAAGTCAGCCAGGTCCTGTTCTTTGAGCGGGGAGTCTCTAACCCATCTTCTCACTACATCTGTGTTTCGACAATTGTATTTTACGTCATTGCTTATAGCCGTCCTTTACTGTATACTTCCATATGTGCAGGGGCTTATCAGGCAGGGCACATACTGGCATAGCCATTGCGTAGGCAAGTAATCTATCCTCCTCATCTCTCTGTTTGTCTTTGACTGCCTGGAGGCCAAATGCTTCTGGAAGAAAGTCTTCAGCCATCCATCCGGTTATTCTCCTCCCCTCCTTCTCACCTCTTCCACATACTTCTTGGCATCCACATCCCCCTTTCCTTCTCTAAATCAGAGAGGATCCAGTTCAGCCTGATAAGGCAAACACATCATAGACCATCTGGAACAAATGACGCATCGATTGACTGGGAAGTCATTTGCAATAGCAGGATGTACAGGCTCGTAGGACCTGATGGAGATTGAACAATCAGATGCAGATCTATGTTACCAGCCGGGCTGCACGGGTCTGATCGGACCCGCCTGGTTCCTGCACACCAGGCCCGGCCGGGCCACCTGCCCGGATTGGCTACCAGGCGAGTCAGTGCAAAATATCTGACACGAGTTTATCTCCTCTTCCCTCCTCTTAGTAGATCCATCTCATCATCCCTGTTGTCCCAGGCGCCCTCCCGGACTGGCTACCTGGCACGCCAGCGCAAGATATCTGACCTGAGTTTATCTCCTCTTCCCTCCTCTCAGTAAATCCATCTCATCATCCCCGTTGTGTGTTTCTTCTCGTTTGTGTCACTTCATCTCCTAGTTGTCAAGGAATGGATGGAGCAAAGGGTTGAGGATGGAGGGTGCGTGTGCACGCGCCTGAGTCTAGGTGACGAAACTCACAAAGCATGTGACCCGAGGGGTCTGCTGCGAAGGGCTGAGAAGGAGTCAGAGGAGGAGGAGGACGAGGGTGGGGGAGGAAGAGAATATAAAGAGTGCGCACATGTGTGTGTGTGTGTGTGTGTGTGTGTGTGTGTGTGTGTGTGTGTGTGTGTGTGTG